CAATGTGATGCAGATTTTTCGGCACGTTCTCTTTTACTGTCTAGATTTCTTGGGGTGAAATTTCACTTGAAAAGTAGGATAACAGCTGAGTTACTCGAATCCCAGAGATTTTTCACTTAGAGTGAATTCTCTACTCTGAATCATCGAGTGAATACTTTCTTTCGAAATTGGAGAGCGAGTTTCACGTATTTCACTGTCACGCAGATAAATAAATTTATTTCAGTTGTTTCGTTGAAACATTCACTCGTGTGGAGTCAGAATTCACTCTAAGTTTGAGCGAAACGTTTCCCCGAAACTTTTACGATTGTGATAGTGTTTTCACCCTTCGAGCTTTTTTCGCTCGTTTTGAAAAAAAATTATATCAACTATTTTTTTTTCTCTGAACATATCTTGTGCACGAAAATATGAATATTTACGAAATTTGGTCAATTGTTTTTTTAATTTGTTCCGTCAAAACTGCTGTAAATATCTTTTTTTTAATTTTAGTAATATTTGTTTTAAATTTTAGTGATATTTTATTATTTGCATGAGAGCATTATTATTCATTTATATGGTAACATTTATTATTTCATCACGACTGCCGTCCATCATCGCGCATTTCGCTTCGGCCCCTTGTCAATTCTGTCGTAATGTATCTCAAATCAAGCAAAATTGTAGCGATTCCGCCAATTTATATTTGACATTTTTAATTTCGTAAAAACGTCACACATTTCAGCACTGAACAATAAACGGTGCGTATACACGTCTATAATGGTGTGTAGCGTAAATAATCGGGCGAAAATATCGGGCAGTAGCTTTTCTGTATGTTACCAAATTTCTGTGTTACCAAACTGAATTTGCATCAAATTTCTGTATTACCAAACTGAATTTCTCGATCACAATATTACGCTATGGCCGTGGGCGATATGCACACGCAGCCAAAGCTAAGCAACGATATAGCTAAAGAGACACGATAATCACCAATATATATGTGGTTATTGTTAAAAACGTCAAAATAACGATGCCCGTCCGAAGTCGCGATGTTTCGCCACTAAAATTGATCGCGAATTGATTCAAGTAACCGAAAATTCAACGTAGAGCCCCGAAACAATACACTTCATATCTTTCTCGTAACACAATGGCTGCAAAATGCTCATTAAAACCACATAAAGTTAACACATCGATCATCACGGTGATTGCCGTCTATTATTTAACCGAGAAATAATTTAACTGCTACAAGTTGGACGAATTGCTAATTTGGCGCGACTGTAATAGTCTCGAACGAGCTACGTTGTGCGGAATTTTCAACTTCTAATTGTGCCGAGCTTAACGTTCGTCGCAATAACACTCGGATAATGCAGCGCTACCCAATACACAATACCTACACGAGGTATGCATTGATGTCTTATTGATGTCTCGCGATATTCGCGAGTACTGTGTGGCATGCGCGCAATGTGCAGAAAGCAAAGTATGAAAGAAGTACACAAGCCATTGCATTTCAATGAAAGCTTACTTACTTACTTGCTTACTTTGCCGGCGTTGTTGGCGTGCTGAACGCGCGCTTCCGGGGGTAGAACACGTTGATTTGTTTTCCCCGACTTCGCGGGAAGGTAGACGTTAAGTATACTCAACGTCTTATCGTGCGCCGCGGATTTCGGTGCCATATTTCATGCGGCGGGCAACTTTTAGCCTTCTTCCTTCGTACTTACTCGACCGGTTTGCGAGAGGCACAATAGAGAAGATATATCCGGAGATTTATGAAGTCGGTATACTTCATTTGAGATACACGAAATAAATCGGGACGCCGAATTCGTGAGAGAGAGAGCGGGCGGAAATAATTGGTTACGTCTCGAGGATTTATATGCGGAAACAATCGGAATCCGCTCCTCGATATTATGCTGCCTCTATCTCGAGTCGAAATTTCGCTTGCGCATTAATCCTGCAAATTTTCCGTCCAATTGGGAGGACCAATGGAGAAGTTCTAGATATAACACTGTACAGTCTATTGTGCCACCTTGGTGCTGCGAATGCTTACTTACTACCATCTTCTCCACGTCAAGACCTAAAGAAGAACCTGTTAAGAATGCTTCGAAGTTTTGTGCCACAGACATTTTCAGAAAGTGGAATCCGAGATTATTTTATATTTGATTCTACAAATCCCATCTATCCTAATTCTTTTCAATAAAACGTAACAATAAAAGAGTTGTAAAAAAAGAAAATTTGTTTCATCTGCTCATTTACCTAGATATTAATATCCAATGGATTATTTTATATCTGCTTATCGCAATACTCTATTTGCAATTGAATCCTCCATCATTTACCTATATTAATTATTTAATATTTGCTTCTCTCGCGTGAATAATTTATTTGCAGTTGAATAAGTTACATAATTGATACGCTGCTTATTGAAATTACAAATTAAAGATTAAATATGAGTAGGATATTGCGATACTCGACTATTAAACAATTCCGACATAAGTTCTTTTTTAACTTTCAAAATGGAAGAAAACAGCAATAAACAAGTATTTGTAACGTCAAAAGACGTGAAGACTATTATATCTCGAGATTCTCCATTAGTTCTTCGAGTTCGATGAAACTCGCAGAGTTAATATGAGATCAAGATTTCGACTCGAATATATTTGCAAGTCTATGACGTGCGAATGAGGTGTCGCGACATGCCAATAAAGGCATAAGGCACATTTACCGATTAATTGTAACGCTAAATATAAATCACAAACAATTTTGTTCAATCAGTTTGTTTGCGAGAATGAGATGCAAAGGATGAACGTTACGAAATGAATATTCGACCCTCTCTCGCTTAATTTAGCAAATTTATACACGGCGTTGTAAATCGCGCGAAAATGACCAAAGTTTCTCTCGAACGGCAAATAATCGTTGGCGCACGTCAACGTTCAAAAGCGCCGCGCTAAGCAAAGCCGCGGGTACAACGTGGAGTAAAGGCTCGCGCGGGTACCGAAAAATAAACAGTACTCTCCGTGAAGCAGAGTAACCCAGACGACGCACAGAGGAGAACGCACAAAAACGTGGAGTGGAGAACGCGCGTCGCACCCTCTCGCCTCTCGGCCCGAGGGCGGACGTGCCGCTCTCTCCACGGGAGATAAAAGCTAGCTGCTACGTTCTCCGTGTACCCGGATATTAAAAACAGGAGTGGAGCGAGAGCGCGCGAAGGTTCATTTGGACGGGGCTTCGACCTCTCGAACGAGAAGAGCTGAAGAGCGTCACGCGCGCGTCAACCGGCAGCGCGATTGTTTCTCGTCTCACGGCGAACGTGCACGCTTCTCGTCGCGGCGACAGGCGCGGCCAACGAAACGAGTGACGCGCCGGGGTCTGGCAGAAAGGGAGGAAAAAGACGGGAAAAAGGGGAGGAGAAAAAAATAGCGAGCAAAATGCGAATTTTTAGGGCAAATGCATATTCATGTCACGACGATGCGACCGCGGACGGCTCCAAGTGGCGCGTATTAATATGCATAAATCCTGCCATTACCGGCAGCTCAGGCAGCTCGGAGAACGTCTCCTCCCGCGATTTATCCGCGGGTCGACCGACTTGCCGGGAATTCTTGGGAAGAACGACACCTGCACCCCTTCCCGTTGTGCCTACTGAATAGTGGCCAGCTCGCCGGAAGATGGTAGTGGGGGCGGAGGGCGAAGCAGCGAGGAGAGAAAATTTTTAATTGCGGCGAGACGCGCAACGTACCGACCTTTTTGCGAGTATTTTCGACATCAGTTGATTTTATAACTTACATTTCGCTGCGTTAAGTGACGAGTGAGCGACAAGCGTAGAGAAAAGTAGCGCGACATAAGTATCGGAAGAGATATTTTTCGAAAAAGCATGATATCTCAAAGAGGAGAGCGGTTATCATCGAGAGTAAGAGTCGTCAGTGAGAACTTGCGGAAGACAACCCCGAGAAAGACATAATTCACTGTCCCTAGTAGTATATCTGGGAGCGGGCGAATTTTGTCGAGTCAGAGCTTCGCGCACACTTCTTTGACCCTTTTCTTCTTCAATACGGATAAGACGTGCCATCCCCTTCCACCGGTTAATGTATTGTATCGGGCATTTCATCGCATCACGGGCGAAAATATCCGACCGTATTCATGAGACCGTTATTAGAAGAGGAGAGGATTAGGTGCAAAATGCAAAACGCGAATTTTGCGGAAAACACGGGAAACAGAGAAAAACTTGCCCTTCCGATTATACGTGGTGGAAAAATTTTTCTCGCGGAAGTTATCGCCCCTAAACGTACCCGGCGCATACCTAAAAAATTTCGACAGTCGGAATTTTGCGAGAATTTAATCATTCGTGCAAAATTGAAAGGCTTTATGCAAGATAGGATCACGTTTTCCAAAAAGTTCACATCTCGCTTTCCCGGAGCCGCGCATAAAAATGCGTTATATCCGGGAAATCCGCAGGTTTTATAATTACCGAGCGAAAGCGGAATCATATTGTGAAAATAAAAATATTATATGAATACATAAGTAACGCAATTAATTTCGCCGTCAAACGTCAACTAATGTTTTAGTATAATATCGATCGCATGCATTTGTGAACCGACCTATCAATGGCGCAGGTCAACCGGTCATTCATCTGTCAGTTAAATAAACGCATTTCAAACCCGTGTTTTAATTCACAATGTTTTTTTTTTTTTCCTGCTCAAACATCGGGTCGACATTTCATATGCGTACCGTTTAAAATTGTTTCGCCAATAACATAACGCGATTTATATAATTCAAATCGCACGTGCGAGCATGTTGAGCGTGGTCGCGAAGCGGTCAGTGCACCGCTGTGAGAGAAAGAGAGATTATATCGATCGTATATTTATTAAAACGTAGATAAACAGAAATGCGCGCGGAGCGGAGGAGAGAAGAAAAAAGGAAGACGAAATAAACGGCATTAAATTTCCAGGAGATATCTCGCGAAACAGCGCGGCTTTAATTTTTCACGTTAATAGGAAATCCGACTTCAAAGGATTAAACGTCGAAGAAGATTGCAAGCTACTCACCGAGCACCACCAGCTTCACCGGTCTGCCGAAGAGGATCTTCCCCTGGTCGTCCTCCAACCTGCAGCCCCACACACCGTCATCCTCTAATCTGACGTTGTCTATGTGTAACGCCGCGGTCGTGGAGTCGCCGATGTACCTGTGCCCGGTTCCGCTCATTTCCGTTCTCGTGTCTATCGTGATCATATCTACCGGACTTCCCTCGTGTAGCCACGTCGCCGGTCGTATTCTGTAACTTCTGACGGGACGTGGCGTCTGCATTATTAGTTCACTCAGCGAACTTCGTCATGCCCGATCTCTGGGCGACGAAGAGCGCCTTACTACACTCCACGCTATTTACAAGGAAACCTTCGGAAGTGTCTCTCGCCGATTTTGATGAATTTTAATTTACATTGTAAATCAACACAAGTAAAATGACAGAACCTCTTTTTTCAAGTATAATGATTTCAACGTTTAGGGAGGCCGAAAGTATATCATAAATGAAATGTATGAGAAAATATTTTATATTTCACTTAAAATATTTACAACTTTGAAATATTATAAAACTTTATATTCTCATAAAATATTATAAATATTTTATTAAAAAAATATATTTTTTATAAAAATATTTATATTTTATGAAAATATATATACAATATTTTTTATGAAATAAAGTTTTAATACGAAATAATATTTAATACGTTCTTTAAAATAATGTATTAAGATTTCTTAAACATTTTTCTCACAATTTCCATGATATTCGAAGAAAATTAAATATTTCCCTTTATATTCGAGGCACTTTTTATCTCAACATTGAGACGAACATATAAGAAAAAAGAGGGTTTTATCATTTTTGTTACTCTACATGTATCCAAAGCCGATCAAATCGATGAGGAAGACTTCTAACGGTTTTCCTTCGTTAGAGAGATTTTGTTTACGTGGCGAGGGGAGTTGTTACTATTTACTGATACTATATTTCTTTTATGGAAAAACGTTATATACATATAAACATTTGTGATGATATACAATGTACATACACAAAGAATATATATATGAAAAAGATAAGAGGAGAGATATCTCTCTCTTAAGAATAAAAAACAAAAGCAATAAATTATCATTATCAATGTACTCGAATATATCATACTTTAGATATATTTTTATTAAAAATTATACACTACGAATATATACTCGGAATGTACTTTATACGGTTTCTACATATTCGAGATTCGTGGGTATTGACCGACGATTTGTTGCAATCGCTACAATTCGATTGGATTTTATACTCTTACCTCGCTCCTGGCAGCAATAATCTCGAGTAATTCCCTTCCAGTTCGCAAGGTAAAATGACCTTGCTGTGAGGCTTCACCACGAGCTCCAAAGGCGGATTGGACGACGTATCGGCCGTGTCTGAGGGTAACGGGACATTGGTCGTAGTGGAAGAACTGGTAGACCATGACTCCTCTTCAGGGGCCAAAAGGGCCGCGGGCTGCGCCACTTCGTCGGGCAGTGGTATCAACGTCGAGCCGGACGTGGTTGTGCTCGTTGTGCTGGTGGTGGTCCTTCTGGAACGCCGGTTACCCTCTTGCCTACCCCGCAACGCAAAAACACCGGCTTCGTTCACAGAACCTGTAACAACGACACGGTATGATGGCGTCGGTCTCTCTAACGTGCTCGCCGTTAAACGAAGTTGCCGTGATTTCGTTTTTTTTCCTCCCGAAGTGCCTCACGCTCTTTCTAACGCGCGCGGTTTTATCGCATGGCTTTTCCCTTCTTTGTCGCCATCTCGCCATTCTTAACGTGCCCCGGTTTGCTTTTTTAACATTTCGGGAGGAATTGTCGCGTGACTTCTCGCGAGAAAACGTTTCAAACTACAAGTTTAGCCATTATCGTTATCGTTGTTTATCGCATACTGCTATAACGCTGCGTGCCGGGTCACATTATATATTAACTATGACGTTAGGTAGATTAATTGAGATGTAATGTAATTATATAACGGGCGGTGCACAATTAAGTAGTTGTCGTAATTACACGAAACCTTTGTCATATAATTTGCCACAATTTTTCTAAGTTGTAAATGTTCTCGGAAACCCTTCTCTCTCACTCTCACACACTTTCTCTCTCTCTTCCCCTCGCTCTCTCTTTCTCTCTCTTTCTCTCTCTCTCTCTCTCAATTCGGACAGAGAGACGCAGATGTGCGGCCAAATTAACAGAACGTATTGTCTTCGGTGCCGCGCGCGCACTTCCAGCTTAAACCGAGCTTCAGAGAAGGGAAGTGCGCGCGTTACCGTCCGTCCAAATTCAAAGGGTGGCTAAATTTTCTGGTCGCCCTTTACGGGGCCGAACAACAGACAAAATTAGTCACCCGCTTCCTCGCCCTACCGCGCGCGCTTTATCACGAAGTAAATATTCTGAAGGCTGGAGCTTGATCGAGTTAGCGCGGCCCCAGAATTCGATAAAGCCGCGACAAGAACGTCGTTGCGAAGGGCACTTTCCGAGCGGCGGCAGCCGTTCCGCACGCTCGGTCGCTCGCACCTAAAACTGCCTATCGAGCTTGGTCGACCGAGACTTCACGAGGAAAACTAATTATGGTCCCGATGAGCCGCAAATAGCTGCAACTACCTAACACAACTAAGAGCTCTTCCCGGGACCCGCCTTCTCATCCTGCAGCCGCGAGTTCCGCAATCCCTCTGTAGCAACCAGCAGTTGAGGGTGACCGACCGCCCAACTTGTTTGCATGCCACGAGGCACTTCTAGGCTGGCTGTTTCATTAACGTTACTCCGTTGTCCGACGACTGAAACGTAAATTTCATTCTTTCGAACCTTTGTGGCGGCAACGTAGCTCGTCACGTTAATCTCCACGCTTCTTGAGACCGGCTCTATTGCGTTTACGCGGCGCTTAATGAGCGTCACTGCGACGTCAGCAACGAGAACGCCAAGTTACCTTTGCTTTTTTCTGTTCTTATAATTAAATCCGCGCGGTAATTTCGCGATCAAACGGCGATTCTGGCTCACGACCGTCGGGAGATTGGGCGTTCGTCGTGAAGCAGGACTCGACATTAGGTTGTAGGATGCAAAGGAAAACGTATCGACCTATAGTCACGTAGCGATATCATGGCGTCGGCCAATAGCGGCTGGCCTCTGTTCATCAACGTTCCCAATAGTATACCCGACTAGTTATACACCGCTATCGAGTGGATGTTGTTCGACGTTGATGCATGCATTATTCAGGCGGTGTATCCATTCATTATTCATGTCATGATCAATGGATGTCAACAGACCGCGATCTGTATCTGAGCACGTCGCTGCTATGGCAGAAAGTGAAAGCGGTTGCTAAGCGAAGTACGTTGACGAGCTCAAAGGAACGTTGCGAGTAACGTGATGTAACGAATTTCTAGCATCACATAGTCGGCGACGCCGACATGATGAACCTTTGATTACAATAGAACCGACCGCGGCGCACACGCTTAGAGAACTCGTTATCGCCCTGTAATTATATTAGACAGAGAAATTTGTACACGTCTTTCGTATCAGACTCGATATTGATATAGCGAATCGTATCTACGGTCTTTGCCGTTACGATCTCTACACGGAGAGAATGTCATAGACATTCCTCATATAAATTCTTCTCAATTTTACTAGGTTCCTAGTAGTGCTGGAAAATAGAGTATCAGATAAAAGGTCTATCTTGCCAAGAAACATAGTAAATTTCGCCAGAAACACAGTAAATTTTTAACAGCACATTTCAGTCATTAAAATATAAATAGCATATGTGAAATGAAAACATAATAAATTATGGCAGAATATCGATCCTCGGCTACAAAATTCTAATAAATTTTACTATACAATTGTCTCAGTGTACTTATATTAGGGATACTCATTAGTAATTTTAGTGATAGATGTAAACTGTGTATTTTTATCACTGAAGAGAGTTGTTCTCAAGAAGTACTATATATTCGGTCATTCTTAAGAAGTACTATACATTCAATATTTAATTAAACTACAAAAATCAACACATTGACAGAATGAAATTACATTTTTTTATCACAATATCACATATTTTCAATAGAAATTTTACGAAGCTAATAATATTATTCGATATTAAAAGATCGGTTTCACCGATTACACGCGATATATTTTGCACTCTTATTGACTTGTTTGATGCTTTCTTGATTAAACGTGTGAGAGCCTTGACAATTTTACCGAATTTTCAAAAATTTTTCAAAGACTTTTAAAAACTTTTCCACGATTATATCGTGAGGCTTCTCGATTATAACGAGGTTAAAAGTACCTGAGCAATCTTATCACTTTGTTTGTGCACGCTGGAAGAGGCACTTTTTGTCATACGAAGGTCTGAAACTAACAAGCCATCTCGATTCGCACCGATCCTTTTGCAACGTATGCACGCGCGATTCGCACAATGCAAGATGATAAGACTGTTAAAAGGATTTACCATCTCGTGTCAGCGGATAAACTCCTTTATAACTCCGCGCTCGCTAAGAAAAGATGAAACTCGCGGTAAATTTCCGCGTACATCAACGCGTCATCGACATACATCACACATCAAAGATGAAATACGCGAGTTCGCGTGGGAATTCCAATAATTTGGAAAGAGGAACAGGTAAACTCCCTCAGAGAAAGAGAGAGAGAGAGAGAGAGAGAGAGAGAGAGCAAAAGAGAGAGAGGGAGAGAGAGAACGACAGCGCCTTGAATCCCTGAGCGCTAGATTTGTCGAACGTTCCGGAAAGGGTCGGCTTTCGCGCAACTTCGTCTCGCGGAATATCCGCCATATGAGCCAAGTTTCGCAAAGTTGCACCTTACCTTCGGTTGTTATCTATTTTACGTTATCACCGCTAATTTTACTCTCGGTTCGGCTCGGTCGAGACTGGAATTTTAAATGGTTCCAACCGCAAGGAATACTTTAGGAAAGTACGCTCTTGTAAATGAGCATCGTTACGACCCTGCGAAGAGCGCGCGTACACCAGTTTTCAGTTTCTGCGTCTACGTAATAACGGCACCACACGAGAGAGTCGATTGTAAAATACGACATACATGTTTGCACGGGAAGAATTTTATAGCAAAAGTTACCATATAGGATTTTGTCGAGGAACAGATCGACATTCTGTAATGATTCTCTGTCCTTTCATCTCATATATGCCATTGATATTTTAGGAAACGAGACTATTAAAACATTGTTGCTATGTTTTCAGCGAAATTTACTACATTCCTTAACATGAGATAGACCTTACCAATAATCTATTCCTGAACTACTAAAGATATAATAAAATTGATATAATTTATATTAACAGAAAAACTATGATATTTCCCCCGTATAAAATACTAAATAAAACCGTATAAATACTTATATTTAGTGCATATAAATCATACACAGAGAGAGATGGTGTATAAATATATACAAAATTATATTTAACACATAGATATATGTATCATATTTTACAATCGCCGCTCACACGTAACGCTATAGTTTCCGTCTCCACAATACCCGCGCGTCCAATTTTCGTTCATTTTCATCGCAAAAAAATACGATTGATAAAAAAAGATTGATCACGAGTTAATCTAGCGGATAACGTACACTCGCGCAATTTCTGTAATCAGGTCAGCGGGAAATATCGCATCTCGCGTTTCGCTATATTATCGGAAATAAAGCTCTATAAAGCAGAACGAAAATTAATCCATACCCGATCAAAACGCGTAATCGGAGCGCACAACAAATGTAAATAATAAAAAAAGGGGGTAAAAATACGCGACGCGCGGAGCGGGGAGCAGCGAGGGATATTGCGTTACGTAATATTTTATTACGCGCATTCAGCCACGTCGTGCGCTCACGCTACACTTCATGTTTACCCGATTATAGTCACCTCTCCCTCCCTCCTCCTCCACCCACCTCTCTTTTTCTGTCTCTCTTTTCCGCGTTGTCCAGGGACCGTCGGTCCCAGAACGTATCAGCGAAACCCGCCTCATCCAGCACATTCGAATCCGAGGGGTGAGCAATGTCCGTTGTTGATGAAAAGTTTCGGGAGTTCTCGGAGGACTTTGCATGTCGACGAGCGGAGGGCGGCTTCCGCCGAAGGCGAGAAGGCCAAAGCGCAAAGCGCCCAGGGTGAGACGGAAGTTGCAAGGGAGGAGGGAAGAGGATATACGGATATATACATATATAGCTCGTTCCCCGGTGGATTTCGAGGTGACCTTGCTGTATGTATACAAAGCGGCAGAGATCAGAGGCGTCTCCGGAGCACGTAGAGAGACCATAGCAAGAGACGGTAGCGAAGGATAAGGGGGGAAACAGAGAGAGAGCGCGCAGAAAGCGAGCGGGGGAGGATTCGGTATCACGGGCGTGTATCGCCGGGAGAATCTATCTTTCGCGTGGAATTCGCAGCACGATCGTCTCTGACGGTGACGGGAGTGATTCTCGGTCAGAGCGACCTGCCTCCCTCTCGCCTCTTTCTTCATCTCACTTCTGTTCCTTCACCTTTCATCTATCTCCGATTCTCATCCTCTTCACTCTTTACTCCGCCGTCTGCGATGTCATCCTGTGCTAAACTCGGTAATACTATCTCCCTCTCTCTCTCTCTTGGCGTGGTGGTAGTTATGAGTCGGTTATCGCTTCG